CCAGCAGTCATCTTAGCCCCTCGGGACTGTTCAGACTACAATGTGCTGGAGGTGAGGAAGAACGGCGTGTATCGTGTGACCCCTGATCCTCGCAACGGGACATTTGAGGTCTACTGTGACATGGAGTCCTTTGGAGGTGGATGGACAGTCATACAGCAACGGCTTGATGGGTCTGTCAGCTTCAACCGCACCTGGGCCGAGTACAAGAAAGGCTTCGGGAACCTCAGGTAAAGGGATTGAATATCATTCCTAGGTTTCACTCAAAAGAGATCTTAGGATGGGGGAAATTCTTGCTGGAAACCAAAGCTTGTAAATTCTCAAATGTTGCTTCAAGGCTTGAATAGACAACCAGTTATATCCAGTATTTGTAGGTCTTATTCTTTAAGAAAAAGAGAGGTAGAACAGGGTGGAGCTCAAAGTTGACCACAAAACAGTTATATTGCACACTTTGTTTGCATGCTGACTATAGTGCTGCTACCTCACAGGGGGTAGCTGATGTTGTGCAACTTCAATAAGCCTTATCATTTTTTTATTTGTCTCATGTGAACACCTCAACTTTATGGAAGTGAAATACTAAATCACCAGACAGAAATCGAAGCAAACAGATTTTTTTTTTTTTTTTAAATAAAAAAAACAACAACCGAAAAATGGAAGAAAAGCCAACAAGTAAAACCCACAGCCTCACAGCAAGCTGCCACCTACTCCCCCCAAAAATGTGGGCCAGCAACTGGCCTGGCCTTTTATCACTTTCACAGCCTCACCTAACTGGAGCATACCATCTGCTCAGGTAACCATAGGGGTGAGCTAGACTGATGCAATTCCTTTAATATAAATAAAAATACACAATAGGAAACTAATTCAAAATTCTTCTTTTATTCCTCGCAAGCAGAATTTATCTATAAGAACAAACGCACAGCTGTCAGTGCACCAACTTTAACAGAATGCCAGTTGTTACAAATTAGTTTTGTCCTTCCTCCCCCAACTTGAGAGTTCCCAGTCACCCTAACCATGCACACCTGTTCTCACTAGCACTGATTGCTCACCTCCTGTTTTCACTATCACTGATCATCCCATGTTAAACAACTAAATCACATTACCACAGTGGGGCTGTCCTTTTTTAACAGATAATAAGCTTTAGTAAAAGTAGGCATAGAAATAAATCAAAATTTACAATATATGATAAAAAAATACAGCAAAATCTGCAAAATGGAGGGAAGCAGCCTTTTTAATGCCAGCCTAACAACAACCTTTTAACCTTTTTAACCTTTTAACCTTTCAACCTTTTAAGCAATTCCACTATCGCAGACTAATTTCCAATGTCAGAATAAAATCACAACAGTTTTATCTCAGTTGGTGAGCGCTCCTGCCATCTCATTATTTGGTGTAATGTGGTCATAAAACTCACTGTGAGTTTATGTCATTATTTTTCTCATCTTCAGGTTCTGACAAAATCAAACATGGTTTTCGTCTTGACTCGGGCAAATAGTGGAAGTTCAATGATTTGAACACTGTCAGCAACCAATAAGTGAGCTCTAAGCACCAAACAAGAAGCAGCACAGAGACACTGAGGTGCATGAACATGAACAACTTTCAGTTCTCTTGCACTGTTGGAGAGGAGGAGAAACTGGTCATGAGTCTGTGCTTAATTGGGCGCGTATCTGATACATCAACCAGCACTTATTATAGTGAGAAATCTTAACTTACTGTATGAAACGGTTCACCACTCAGTTGAGGCGGCAAAATCCCAAATGTAGTTTGTACACAAATCTTTACAGTGTATATTGATGCCGAATTCGCAAGAATACTGTCGACATATGGCGCCTTTTATCTTTTGTTTCTAGAGTTGTGTGTTTATGTGAACACGCAAGGAACTGTCAATTTGTCATATTTCTTAAAGGCAGTTTGGTAGTTGTAGTTTTGCAAATAATGACCCTGCAAGATCCCCAGTCTTTGCACAATCTTTTTGGCTGTGACTAAAAACTCAAATTGTCTTAAGAGGTGCGAGGGTGTCAGACTTTACTCCTTTAAAAAGTCTTCTCTGCATCTTCTAATGAATGGTGGGCATAACTATATTTTGTTTTGACAGAGTGCTTCTACTATAACTGGACTCAGTCATTCTCCTATCTACTCCTGTAGGAAGGGGGTTTTATATGGGAAATAACTCTGGCTTCCTCTTGACAACTGTGCCTATAGATCGAGTATAACCTCCCACTGAAAGAATAATGTTCCCTCTCATGCTTCTTTTACTGTCACACTACTCTCCCCGTCCATCTTTTCCCTTCCTCCCCTCGCCTCTGGTGATAAGTTCATTCAGTTTGAGTAGCTGTATCCACGTTCCAATCAAATGTACAAGCATATGAGCTTAGTAATCTCTCATTTTGCTTTGTCCCATCCTCTCCTTCATCTACCTTTCGCTCTGCTGCAGAGGTGAGTTCTGGCTGGGTAATGACCATATCCACTTGATGACAAAAGCCAAAGACATGATCCTGCGCATCGAGCTGGAGGACTTTGAGGGCGTTCGGGAGTACGCAAAGTACGACCAGTTCTATGTGGCCAATGAATACCTTCGCTACCGACTGTCTGTCAGTGGATACAGGTACAATATTAGATTCTGCGACTGTACAGTGTGCATGTATCATCAAATATTCATAAAGAGAGAACGACTAATCTTATATATATATTGATGTGTCATTGTAGTGGGACGGCTGGGAACGCCATCAGTTTCAACAAGCACTTCAACCACGACCAGAAGTTTTTTTCCACGCCTGACCGCGACAACGACATGTACCCCTCTGGAAACTGCGGTGCCTACTACAGCTCCGGCTGGTGGTTCGACGCCTGCATGTCCGCCAACCTCAACGGGAAGTATTATCACAAGAGGTACAAGGGAGTCCGGAACGGGATCTTCTGGGGAACATGGCACAACATGTCGACGGAGTACTACCCCACTAACTACAGGCAGGCCTTCAAAACTGTCAAGATGATGATACGGCCCAAGAACTATGCTCCTTAAGAAGACAGGTAAATATCAGAGCGGTTGGGCGAACGAAAACAAAGACAGTCAGAAAATGGAAGAACGAGTAGACTCAGAAACTCATAGACATGCACATAGTCATGCATATGCACACATTTACACATGCATACGTGTACACCCAAAAAGACTATAAGCCCTATAGACAGTTTGAATGCAGTAATTACAAGAATAATTGTGAAAAAAAATTAACTGTGCTATTACTTTCGCTATTACTTTCTCTTCTGCAGTGAGTGTGGCCTTCAAAATGTTGGATTAAAATGATGATACTAAAGGACAATGGACTATGAACGATGATGGACTAATAAAAAAAACACACATGCAGTGTAAAGGCCAGCCTACTACAGAGGCCATAATATTATACGGAGGGTTACCATGAGAGATTTTTCACTGTTTCTCTGACATTTCTCCACTTTCTATCCTGCTGCCTCCCGCTATAAACCCAGCTGAGACACAGCACAGCGCACAGCAGTAGTAAAAACTAATGAGCTGTCATTTTCTCTGCTCTAAATGGTTTCATAATTAACAGCAGCCACTCAAGTGAGGTATATGAGAGCTGATGATACAGTTTTGAGCGGCTCTGAAATTCATTGTGAAAGACTCCACGCCGGGGTCAGAGTCAAACTGTTTAAAAAATAACTACAGGAAGTGATATACTACACGCTTTGGGCAGCAGTGCACAAGTAATAGCTTCTGTGTCGTTTATTTAATTACACCGGGACACTTCGCTAATGTATCATCATCCTATACAATACAAAACATCCCAGTATAAATATGCACCCTCAGATGAATTCCCATCGGGTCATTCCCAAGTACATTCTGCATTATTGATGCTCGAGTAAATTCATCCTGACAGCAGCCACGGAGCTGGACGCTGCCGCAAGAATAACTGTTCTAATTCTATTTCCACCATTATCTCTGGGTGCACTGTACTACTGCACTTCTCTCGATGCCACACACCAGTTTTCACATGTAAAAAACAGAACCCTCCTTGACTCACCACTTGTACAATACTGCCGCCTAATGTTAGAAAACTGTATAGCATCATTTAATCCATTCTATGCACACTGTGAATGGGGCAGGACGGGGAAAGGAATGTTTCACTCTAAGGACGTGTACAGTATTTATTTTATTTTGTGAGGTATGATAGCTTTTATATAATACCTAGGCCATACAGTACAAGGTCTAATGATTGTTGATATTTGAGCAATGATAAAGACTGTGCATTATTGTGACCATTCATAGTAATTATGTGTGTATTTGGAGCTTTGTGTGTGTACAATATTGATCTTTTCTATCATTCATACACGACTGTCATGCCAAAAGATATGCACTTTTTATATCAAAAAAATGAATAAAGTTCTAACTACATGACTGTGTACATTGCAGTGTTTGGTACTTTGACGTCATACTGATGCCTGCTTATCTTTATGAAAACAACCTGATGAATGTATACAAGTTTAGCATGATTATCCATGAGTAGAAATCCCACACTCTGAAGTGCGGGGTATTTGTCGCCTGTGGAAATGGAGGTACTAGGTGCTGCATACCCATAACAAATGGGTTAATGAGGTGTTGACTCGATAAAGCGACTCAATAAAAGAATGAGTTCATATCAACTTCACAGATGATGAATGATCAAACTGTGGACCCTTTGACTTTAATGTCTGTTTACTGTGTGTGACGATCAAGCTAATAAAAAAAGTACTGCTCATCTACATGATGATTTTAGGTTCCAAGCACTCACTTTTGTCTAAACACTAAGCTTTAAGGCATACAAATCAGTTTACAGTGCCAAGTTAGATTCTAAACACCAATTTTGCCGGAAAACAAAATGCCGAGGGATTTTCTCGTAATCTTTTCTTGGATGTAATTAGAGTAAACAAATGTGCCAAATGTGATGTTTGTCTCTCCTATGAAACCTCCATAATGCCATTCACAAAAACTATGATCATTTAACAAGTCTTACCTCGTCTAGGCACTGGAAAGCAGGACTAGCAGTGACATCAGTAGAGGCAGAGGGCTGCTCCTCCGGGAGTGAAGCATCAGGTGCAAGGGCCACCAGAGGGGTGTCCCCCAGTCCCCTCTCCTCCTCCTGTTGTTCCTCCACCTCCTCCTCTCCTCGGCTGGGATTCCTGCTATGCTGTTGCTCCACAGATAGACTCACTAATGCACAGTGTGTAGAGTGATATAGTCCATTGATAGGTATACATAGACAGGTAGATGATTGGAGGAAGGGAGACAGCAAGGGGAGACAGAGCAGTGCAGTTATGACACAGAATTTATGGTGGAGGGATATTAAACAAGCATCAGCAACAACAAAAAGCTATGCAGGAGGGCAAGGGTGTAGGTTTATTTCAACATTGGGGAAAGGCACATCTGAAACAGGGGGGTTTGGCAGTCCTCCGCAAGAAATTTTGAGCCAAAATACGTAATTCCCTGCATTCTGGGGAATGTAAATGCACCAATTTGTGCCTTTGCTGCATCAATTTATGGTGTAGATGTCTTTGTCAAAAAAGTCTGCTACCTTCATGTTTTTATTTGAGGGGACAAATTCACATCTTATAAAATCTTGAGGGGGATATGTTCCATGTGCCCCCTCTGAAATCTACACCTATGCAGGAGGGGTATCTTAGACATACTCTTTGTAATTAAATAAAAATAAAAAAGAGGTGAGCTACTCCAAACAAATCAGTAAAGGTCACAGGATAATTTGGTGCAAAATATGTTGCCATCAAATAACTGCATGGAAATACTAGGAATCATACAATGCTACTAGCAAGGTTGGTACATTAGATTACAGATACATTTATAGTTGACTTTGAGGGACTGTAGTTTTATCCATAACCACCATAGAAAAAAAAAATAACACGACAATAAAGTACAGGCAGAGCTATAACGAAGGGATTGAATCGGTTCAACAGCCTTGGAGAGTGCAATCAATATTTGTGAACGTGAGCTACTCTCTCTCAAACCCTGAAACCAGACAAATCAGTCTCAAACATGTGATGTCATAGGGTGCAAAGTCTGGAGCTGCTTCACTGACAATGAATGGGAGCCTGATTTTGTGGAACCACAGTTTGTTCATTTTCTTTCTTATGCCCAAATGAGCTTTACTCTATCAGTTGTGAAACAGAAAACATACCCATATACTCAGAACATTTCCCAGCTCCAGACTTTATTTGCTATGAGAGCTATGTCCAAAGTCCGGCCCAGGGGCCAATCATCTCCCAATCAAGTTTTCATAAAGAGATGATTAATGGACAGAGTTGACAGCGAGGGCTGCTGCATTCAGGAGCAGTGGAAGGTTGACTATTTTTTTCAGAGAAACCTGAAATAATTGCCTTTGTCTTAGTTTTTCATTCATTTTCCATAACTGCTTATCCTGTTGGGGGTCGCAGGGAAGGTTGTGGCTGGAGCCTATCCCAGCTGACACTGGGCGAGAGGCGGGGTACAACCTAGACAGGTCATATAGGGACAGACACATAGAGACAGACAACCATTCACGCTCACATTCACCCCTACGGACAATTTGGAGTCACCAATTAACCTGCATGTCTTTGGACGGTAGGAGGAAGCCGGAGTACCCAGAGAAAACTCACACTGACATGAGGAGAACATGTAATATCCGCATAGAGGGGCTCCCCCACCTTGGGTTTGAACCAGGAACCATCTTGCTGAAAAGAAAAGTGCCTTTTTGAGGATGAATGTATTTTAGAGAACCAATTAACCTAACCTGCATGACTTTGGACTGTGAGGCAACAATACTAACTGCACCACCATGCCACTTTTGTCTTTTTAATAAACCATATGGTGCTAGTAGCAGCTGGCCCCCAGCTATTTTCACATTATCTGATCTGGTCCCCATTCAAAAAAAAGCAAAAAGCATTCAAAAGTTTCATTACCCTAGTTCTTAGATTTGAGAGAGTTGTTCATGTTGACTAATATTTTTGGACTGTCTTTGACCAAAGGAATAATGAAAATTTGAAAATAGGCATAGTTCCCCTTTAATGAAGAAACCTGTGCTTTTATTCTGAAGGATTTCAGTTGGAAATCTGTTGCTGGCGGAAATTAAAATTAAGACATATATTTGACTGCACAGAAACATTTCTGGTCATCTTAATAATAAAATAAAGCCAGAAAATGTGTTTGTTATCACCATGATATTATATAACGTTACAGTAATTAAAAAGCAAATTGGCCTGGAGAGTGCACCAGGTGTATGTGTAGCATTACGATAAAATAACGCTAGCTTTAACGTTAACGTTACTTCTTGATACTTGAATTAGCTTAGAAACACTAAACGCGACACTGTCACACACTTAAGCACATGTAAAAACTCTAATAGTGATTTTCTTGAGCGTGTTAATTAATAAACACCTGCGTTTATGTGTAAAAAATCCTCGGTTGAAATGTTACTCATAACAGTTGCTGCTAACGTTAGCTAACGTTAACCCTCACTACGCAGAAGCTAACGAGCTAGCTACAAGTGACGTTAGTTAATATTTGTGCCGGTGTTTGTCTGATAAACATAGAAACGTGTAAAAGTCTTACTTGTGAGTGTCTCTAATCCTCGCACACGTCCTCAAAACTCTGTCACTTTGTCCTTTGAAACCATACAACCACACGCTTTGAACAGTTTACAGCTAACAGTTAATGCTAACCAAACTAAAATCACAGATTACACTCTAGTTAACGAGTGTGTAGTGGTTACCATAGCAACGACGTCATACGTCCCTCATAATGTCAGTTAACGTCGCTTATCTTCGCATTCCTTCTTTCTATTAAGCTAAATTTAGCACTTGCTACTTAAAGTTGCCAGCTAATAACATGCAAAACAATGTAAAAGTTTAAAACAAGGGCACCCAAACAATCCTAAATCTTATGTTACACTTGCAGCGACCGTCCAGCAGATGGCGTTACATTGTAATTTACCGCACAGCACGTCCTCAACATGTGTCCTGCATTGCCAACAGACAGCAGCATCAAAGGCCGGCTGAATGAAAGCGCTTAAATGAAACAGGATTCAGCTGACCTGAATCCAAGGCGAAAGTGATGGCCATGATGCAACACTACTGTTCTCCTGTTAGCTTCTTTTTCCCACAGTGTACTCTGGGAGCTGGCACAGCCCATTACTCACCCCTTGCAACAGCTGCAGGGGTGTGTTATCTGAGCAATGTCTGTGTGTGCACACAATATGTATGAAAGAGACATAATGAGAGATTCATTTCAGTCAGCACTGATTAGTAAAGGTTATCCTATAAACACTGGGTGCCACCAAGCAAGACGCCCCCCTCCTTAAAAGTATGGCCAGCCTGTGATGAATTGTGGGAGACAGTTTTAGACTGTATGTTCCTGATTTGCCTTGGGTTTACTGGTTGTTGCACAAATAACCTTCCCCTTCAAAGGCTGTTTTCAGTGTTACTTTATTTCTTGCCTACAAAAATTCCCAAAGCCATATGGTTCGACATATGGCACAGGTATGTGCATTTACCACGTGTAAGTGTATCATGATGTGCACCAGAAAGAAAGGCAAAATCATATGCAAAAACTCTGATAGCACACCCATGCAGAACACTGTGTATAAATGCTTGCATGCACATATACACTGGGCCTTTCTGAGTTTAACTGGCATCATTATAATAATGGCCGTCTCTATTATTTGACTTCAGTTCGCTTAAACCATATCTGACTAAGTGGCTCTAAACTCCCTTGCAATTTGGTTGTTTTGGCAGGGGAGCTATGCAATTTTTGTGCATAAAGTCAACAGCTGAAATGACTGATTTTTCCAGTGATTGCTATGTAGACACATCATCCACGGTTTTGCCTTCTGTAATAATGGTAAACTCTGAAAAACAATTTTCATGCAGGAAAAAAACACCATCCACTGTTTTTCCATAGTGAGACAGTATGAACGAAGGGAGGGAACAAAGGCCAGAGCCATCCTCCTTGTATATATTAGAACCAATTAGACTTTTACAAAGGGACTCTCTAATTAAACCTGTTAATTATGTAGAGTTAATTTTACCACCCCTTGTTAAATCCAAACAAATCACCCGGTGCTTTGGGATGAATGTTTTGCACGGGAGCCAGGTTTCCAAATTAACCTTGAACCCTCTCCAACAGTCTGGATGCTAACTTCTGAATCCTGGCAGGCCCCAGTTTATTTTGTGATGAAAATATGCCACTTCATGTGCCCCTAGCATTACCATTTTTGGCTAAATAAAACATAAGCCCCAGTTTTATTGCTATTTTAGGGGAGAGCAGCTGAGAATTGCAAACTTATGTGGGAATAATAAAAGGATGCTGAAGGTTTTAGAGTTTCTGCTTCAGGTTACTGTTTGTTTCTACATCAAATATAAACTGTACCGTCCTTATACATACTTTACAGACTCTGCTTTACCCTTTACCCTCAGTCAAACCATTTCAAAACAAATCTACCGTGGCTTCCCGGTAACCCAGACAAAATTGCTGACTTGGGCTTCATGAGTTCACAGGAACTGCTGTGAGGTTTAATGATCTGCAAATCAGACACCAGGGGCAGATAGCTGGGTGAAGACTATGATTAATGTCAACCTGTTTTGGTACAGACATTCATACCCCCCTCAGGAGAAATTGTAATAACTTTTTGTTGTTTCACTTTTCATCTTGCTCCACCAGTTCATCAGATAAAAAAAAAGATTCATCCAGTATTTTGATTTATGATTAAATACCTGCAAAACTCATGACTCTCCCATCAACCTCAGCTGAACTTGTGAGCATGCTACACACCAAGCTAACATCAGCACGTTAGCGTTGTGGTATTAGCCAAGACACTCTCAGGGCCGTTTCATAGTCGACGCAAAGGCACGCAGACGCGAACGCATTGGGACACATCGAGACCCACTGGCCGCCATGATGCGTGCTTGAGTCTCAAAATGTGTTGTCCATTTTTTTGATACGCAATGCAGCGACGCGTGTAATACCATTTGTTGCCAGCGGGGGTGATAATGTAAGCAATGTACTTGAAATTAACCACTTTTTGTTATTCACAGAAGAAGCAGATATGGAATATGGCGGGCGAAGAGAAAAAAATTTGCAAACTCGTACAGGCACATCCCCATTTATATGACAGTTCTAGTGCACTGCACTCTAATAAAATAGCAGTACTAGCTAGCTACCACAGTACTAGCTAGCCGGAATGTACCGGTGACTCTGCTACCCCCTATTGCGCAAGTGATGTATTGGATTTCAAGTGTCGCCTGCGTCGCTTGTGTTCAATGTATTGACTATGAAAGGAAGTGTGTCGCTTGCGTTGCTTGCGTCACTTGCGTCACTTGCTCCAGTGCGTGCATCGACTATGAAACGGCCCTACGAAATGACGGCATAGAGATACACAACCCAGTTTCCAGAAGAAAATGTTGGCATCATACGCCATAGTAAACCACAGTTACATTTGCATGTTTCACGGGTATCATTAACGTTTCTAAAGTGATGTGATATGCTGAACTGGTCATCGTGAGGTGGAAGGGATGGTGCATGGCAAAGGTACAGACCACTGTTTAAGACCAACAAAAGCAACAAAAACATTGCTGTGTTGCCAAGTCATGAAAGGCAGTTGTCTTTTACCGAGATGCTGATGCTTTTCCTGTCCCCAAACAGGGTATTCTAGGCCAGGGCATTATCTTTTCCTCGCCATAACCAAGTGGTTTTCTGCCTAAACCTAACCACATGTTGACCAGAGTGTTGTTGAAAAGTAAAGTTTCAACATACCCGCTACATAGGAATTTTGTTGTGTTGCAGCCTTCAGCCTTGGTCAGGTCAGGAAATGGATGTTAGTTATGTTTACGGTAACAGTCGGGTCAGCAGAAGGCCTACATGAGGCCTTGAGGTCAGGCTACTTGACTCTGTCATGAACGCTCTTCATCTATCGTCTCCCAGTTGTGGTGGAGGGAATACAGCTGCCCAGATAAGGATGTCTCCCCGGCTCCGTTGCCATAGCTCCCAAGGTTAAGGGGAAGGGAGATTGCCCTATGCTCCAGGCTCAACAGATGAGAGTCTCTTTATTGATATGTGCATTTTGTTAGAGACACTTGAGGTGATTTAGAGCGAGCCAGGTGAGCCAGGTGCTTGTTGTTTAAAGTTAGTAACCAATAAAAACTTCACAAAGTCATAGATCAGGACAGAATAACCTTACTTGGGAATGTGGAGTAACTCTCAAGGGAATACTGTTTGGGTTAAATGCAAGAACTGGGCAAGGACACCCTCAGAATCACTTGCAACTCTGCATGTTCAGCTGCGATTCTCCTCGATTGAGTCTTCATCAAGTCTCCTGAGGTCTTCTTCTGCTGTTAAATCTGCAGCTCTGAAAATTCTTCAACAATAATAATGTGCAAATGTCTTGTATCTGTGGTTTGCAGAAATGCACAATGCCAACGTTTTTCCTGGCTACTGGGTTGGAATATAAAGAACATTTCGCACCTGTTGCCATCAGCCGAGCTGCTTTCTGAAAAGATGCTGTGGAAATTAAAGAGTTAAGTAAATCTGAAGACTTTGTTTTCTGGTGGATGCCATTTGTCTTAAGAGTGTAACCTCTGCTGCTACGCCCATTTAAGGCCAAGGGTCAAGAACCAGTAACCATGTGTGTCACTTTTTCTGTGTGGGTGCATGTCCTGAATTTGTCCATTTGCTTAGTAGCCACTGCACAAACCAGACCTCTGGAAAAAGTTACTGTACTCCCACAGCAAAGAGTCCAGATCTCTGTTTTACTGCCTTATTGTAGTCACAACAAACGCAACTTGGGGATTGGGGGTAATTTCACAAAACCCTCCACCTCCCGGTTTCTCTCTTTCATGTGTGGTTGGGTGTTGGGTTTTTACCATTTTAAATGTCCTAATTAAAACACACAGAAGCACACACACACAGGCACACTATGCACAGCGTTCTTTTTCCATGCACACAATCTGCCGTTACAATTTCTCTTGTCAGAGACTTTGTCCTTCACACATGGCGCCTGGAGACAGTTTATAAACAGATGTTTTAAAGTCTCTTAAAACCTTGCAACCATTTTTTTTTCTTATTGAAGCTCCGACTGAATCTTTTGTGCACTTCTACAATATTATTCACGTCCTTGAGAGATCTTTACCGTACTATTCAGAGAAAGCCGAGATGAAATGGTATGTTATGATTGCCGTTAAGTCATTTCACCAGAGGGATGGAAACATGAAACTGAATCCAACTCTTCATTGTTGGATCCGACTCCATACTGCTGAGTTTACATCCTGTGTAAATATTTTGCGCCATCAAATTTGAGTTTAGTGGACTACCTACGACATAAATCACAGAGAAATCGAGAACTGCTTTTGGCAAACTGTGAGTGTGACGTAATTCTTCAGATCTCTGTGGAGAATTGTTCCATAGTGTGTGAATGGGCAGAGCAGAGGCCCAGATCTGTAAGACCCCCTACAGCTTGGAGTCCTCTGACCCACCACTGTCCATGATTCTCCCAAACAAAAAAAACACATGTGCTGGAGAGCCATGCCTGTTTTCAGCATTTTGTGCCGAAGAACTAAAGCTGTATGGGTGAGCCAGCAACAGCTGTGCACATTTCATAAAGATTATCTTGACTCATTTGGAACAAATCCTGATCTTTGAAGCATGTTTAAATCATCAATAACTTGGAGCTTTGAACTCAATGAATGATGTGAACCCAA